TTTTTTTTTTTTTTTTTTTTTTTTTTTTTTTTTTAAGAATATTATAAGATGAATTATATTAAATTAAAAATCATCATTAAAAAAAAACAATATTTAGAAATAATATATTTATATTAATCTATTTTCAGATATGCAGAAAGAATAAGACCGTTAGTAAAAGAAACCGTTCAGTATTTGCATCAAGCATTACGCGAAGGAAAAAAAGTATTAATAGAAGGTGCAAATGCTGCGATGTTAGATATAGATTTTGGAACATATCCTTATGTTACGAGTTCTAACTGCAGTATAGGTGGTGTTTGTACCGGTCTTGGACTACCACCGTCTTATATCGGAGAAGTTGTTGGTGTCGTTAAAGCGTACACTACAAGAGTTGGTGATGGTCCATTCCCTACAGAACTTTTGAATGCTACAGGCGATCTTTTACAAAGGAGAGGACATGAAATTGGTGTTACAACAAATAGAAAAAGACGTTGCGGTTGGCTAGATTTAACTCTTCTTAAATTCACTGCAATGGTTAATGGGTAAGAAATATTGTTATAAAAACAAATTTGGTTAAATAAATTTATTCATCTCTTTACATTTAGAATTTTATTTATTTTTATTTAACAGATATACGTCAATATGTCTAACAAAATTAGACATTTTAGATACGCTTCCAAAAATTCAAATTGGTGTAGGTTACCGATTAAATGGAAAGGAAATTGATTATTTTCCAAGTACTACTTCTGACTTGGTGAAAGTAGAAGTAATTTATGAAACTCTCGATGGTTGGCAATCGACAACAGAAGGTGTACGTTCTTTAGAAAAATTACCTCCTAATGCAAAAAAATATATACAACTAATAGAAGAACATCTTGGTGTACCAGGTAATTTTTTTAATTTCTATAAATTTTTTTTTAATATTGAATTGAAATATATTAAAAATTATAATTATTATTATTTCAGTTAAGTGGATTGGAGTTGGAGCAGGTCGAGAAAGTGTAATTACGCTTTGACATTGTTATGTAGTAGGATGTTCATCATGAGAGAATGTACTATTAAAAGAATCGGAATAAAATGATGGTACCGATTCATGTACAAAATTTATTCAAACTTGAAGAATACTTTTATAAAACATCACGCATGCAGACTTCTGAATAACTAACTATCCGCCGAATTTGGAGATCTATTTATAATCGCGGCAATCTCACATGACTAACTCTGTTAGTCACTAGAATTGAATCTTGAGCAGCTAGTCAGCTTAATAATATTTACAATTTAAAAAATGACTTTTCAACTACCGAATCATTGATGTTTAATATTCGCAATATCGCGAAAAAAATTATTTTCATATCTTATAACTTGCCAAAACTTTGGCAAACATCGGCATCTCTGTTTTATTGTTCGTTCTTGTTTCTGAGAATAGAGATGCCAAAAATATATATGAAATCTAATTCCTTTTGGATACGTAGCACCTCTTTTTCTTAAAGTCTTTTTGACATTATTTGTTGTAATTGTATCTCCTTGAGCTACATTTGCTTATCAAGGAGTATTGCGTGTTATAACAATTTGTGTAGTAGTTGTTACAAGGTTTGCACAAATGTCTTAATTGTAAGAATTGTAACAATTTATACGCTCCAATTTTGTAGATAAAATATGACATAGTACTTAGATCTAAAGCATAAAATAAATAATTTAAAAATATTAGTTGTCTCTTGTCTATTAAAAATTTTCTTGTATAATCCTCTGGATCTTAAAATGACAAATACTTATTAATTAAATTCAATTACACTTTCATTTTAATTGTTTATTTATTTTTTTTTTATTTTATTACAATAGATTTATATATATATATATGTAATAAAAAATACAATTAAAACATTAAAAAGTAAAAAATCAATCATTAATGATCTTAAGTATATTATGATTCCAGCAATCTATATCCAATAATTTGCCATGTCAAAAAATATTCAATCTCATTACATAAAGGTTAAAGTGTTGCTCATACTTCCAGATCTAGATCTAGGTACAATTGTATCAGTAAATCGAATTGTTACTTCAGTTACCGCCATATTTCCGGTGAGGAACTGAGCTAAAGTTTCAACACCTGCACGAGGTTGACGATCAAATGGATATCCCATTGCTCGTGCATCAGGATATTTTCTATCTCTCAATCCACAATAACTTGCAGCATCCTTGCAACCAATTGGCTCATCCTGTACAACCTATGTATTGTAATATAAAAAATTAGAACTAAAATTTTTAAAAAATTCACATTTATTAATCATTAATCTATTAATATAAGATACATACACGATCATCTTTATAATCTGATACCATGACGAAAAGTTCCATTGCAAAACCTTCTTTATTTCCTTTTGGTATAAGCATATGTTGCGGCCATCCGCATCCACAAAAATCGAATCGTTCCAAACTATCACCTCCTATTGGTCTATTTTCATCTAAATTACGGAAAGTTCTCTCAAATGGTATAGTTACTGAAGATTTCGTAGATTTCTGTTCAATCGTATTTTTTCCTGGTTGAACTAAAATCAAATAAATAGAAAAATAAATATATACATCATATTTGATGTATATTACTTGCAAAAGTTAATTTATAGCGCAATAATGGAACATTTCAATTACAAGTACAGAATATTCATACTAATAACATATTTAATTGAATTAATAATTTAAAATTGTAAATATATATATATATATATTTTTATCGTATACACGTTTTAACATACGTGTTATAGGAAACTTATCCAATTCGATCATTAAATTCTTCTGTTCTCTGAAAGTAAACGGTAATCCACGCTCGTCTTCTTTAGGACCTATAAAGATACGGACCGTGCCTTTCATTGATGTATTATTACGATTATTAATAACAATGGTATATGAAAAATCAGCATGATTCAAATGAGTAAATCTAGCAAGCACTGCGCCACGTGGAGTGAAATCGAGTCCGCGTGACAAATCTACATCGCTTTTGGTCCAAAAGGTATTTAAAATATTGCGTTGTTGATTGGTTGTCAATTTGATATCTGCTATTTCGATGCCTGGGAAGTCTAACTGTAGACAATAAAAAAATATATTTTATTTATACATATAAATACACATTTTATAATAATGTGTATTAATCATAATATAAATTGTATGATAATTGTATGATAAAACAAATGTAATATTAAAATAAATTTAACCTGTTGTACAGTATACTGAGGTAATGTATTTTTATGTTCCTGAAAGACGTCGTCAACAAATGCATGCCATCTATAAAATATAGGATCTCTCATAGCTGTTGCTGAATCACCCATAACACCAAAACTTTCCTAAAAAATAAAAAAAAATATAATTGTTAAAATAATTGTTATTTATTATAATTTAAATACTTATTTACTAATATTCAAAATTACATTTTAGTACAATAATTCTATTATTAATTTAAAAATTATAAAATATATTACATGCTTACCAAATATCGATGATCTGGATCATGGATATAAGAAATGGCGACATGACCAAAATTATGGAGATCACCATAGACATTCTGATTGGGAGAAAGAATACTAGCTTCCATGATATTTCCTAGGACATTGATTCCATTTTTCTCAGTCAATTGAATTCTTTCACCTCTGGTATTAATTACAGATCCTGTATGGATTGCTTCGTAAATACGATCTCGCCATCTTTCTAGATCCTGAATGTCAAAGTTCAATTCATCAACTTGTCGATTGATATCCTTAAGGACAGTACCGCTGGGTCGAAATGGCCATGTTCGACTGGCAACAAGAGAATCTAATTTCGGAAAATAAGCTTCCGGAATCGGTTCGTGCCAATTAATAAATCGTTTTACTCGTCCAAGACGATTACATAGCCGTTCGCAATTATATCTAAAAATATCAAATTTGTTTTTAATTAAATGAAATATTATTTACATATTCAGACCATTGCATCCATTTAGGATTTAAAGTTATATTTTAAATATTTTTAGTAAATATTTACCTAGCCATAATCTGTTGATGCATATAGTAAAAAAGTTCTCCACGTCGATCCTTGTTAACAATTCTCATGTCACCTTCAAATGGATACACCAAATGCCAATGCCAATGATGAAGATTGATTCCAATATCTTCTCTCCAATAAGCAACACGATGTTCCTCATCAAGATCTGATGCGGTATAATCTCTTGGAATTTCGATTGGAACCTATTAAGAAATAGTTTGTGAACAAATAAAATATTTTTATTTACATTTACATAACTAAATTTTATAATTTACAATTTATAATATATTTATACATACTCTAGCACCTTCAGGTACAACATTAGCTTCCTCTCTAGCTCTGGAAAATATTCCACTATCCATGTATTTGTCTGGAAATACTTCGGTAAGTGGTGGTACTGGCAAATCTTTCGTGTCAGGACGATGAAGTATCGCCACTGATAGGGCATAAATAAACATATTTGGATTTAAACGATCGCGACAATAAACTGCAACAGACAGGAAGTCCTCATATGTTCGCATACCTGCAACATAAAATACAAAGTATTGAAAAATCTGTGAGACATTGATTTGGAAGATCGATTCTAAACATTGAAACGAATATAAGGATTAAAAATTTAGTATATATGCTTCTATTTTCTATCTAAGATAATTTTAATTTGTAATTAAAATCTTAATTGATAAACAGTTTAATAATGAATAGAACAAACTTCATAATAACTGTTTTCACAATAATTATTAAAAAACAATCAATAAAGAAGAAATAAAAGAAATAGAAAATAGAAAGAAAAAAAAATACCCATAAAAATATCAATTAATCGAGCAGCTATTTTTCGATGTGCCGGAATAAATAGTGAAAAAGGTTGACGACGTCCAAGTTGCATTGGAATACTAAGATCCGGAAGAGTAATTGCCTTCACTGGAAGTTTCGATTCTGCATCATCGCCGAAACGATTAAATACTTGAGTAGCCACAGAACGATATCTATCAGGCTAAAAAATCATTGAAAATCTTTAAATTTTATATTTATTTATTTATTTTTTTTATTTTTTAATTAACATTTAACTTTTTAACTTTTTAAAATTTAGTTTTTGTTTAATTCATTTAAATAATATTTAAATAATAATTTATATGAAATATAATACTTACTAAATAATCAGGTGGAATATCAAAAGCGACTTTATTGTCTCCCTTAGGGACGTAAACCGGTTCAGAAGGTCGATCAAATAGATATAAAATACCCGATTTATCAGACGCCATTTTCGTCGATAGTTCTAATGTCGAATGAAGAAAAAGCAAATAAACGAAACTAATTATTATTCTACAAATGACAAGTTCACGAACAAGTGCCGTTTTATATAAATTTTTTATATGATGATTATTTCACGAAATATTCAAATTTTATCAAATTTTAATTATAACTCACGGTGAAATGTAGAATAAGAAAGAATGTTCGGATTTGAACTGTTAATATCGTTCTATTAGAAATTGTAACTAAATTATGACTTTATATACAAACTTAACAGGAAATGGTTTTTCTAAAAGCCGCAAAATCTGCCACAAATATCTAAAATACATAATCTATTGATTAAGATTAATACAGTGTCATTCTAACCGCATCATTATTTTTCCTGTTTTTGAAGGAAATAGATTGCGATTAGTAACACCAACTAAATTAAAAATAACTATTTATCTATTCAAAATAAATGTTGCTTGTTACGATTTTTTAACTTAAAATAAAATTTAAAGTAACATGTTAAGGAATAGTTATAAAATATAACAAATATATTAATTAAAAATTTTTATTATTCTAAAATAATTTTTTATTCTAAAATAATAATATGATTCAATTTATTTCTTAAGTTACAAATATTGATATTAAAGTATTGCTTTTATTATAAACTTTTTATCATAAACTTTTTTATTACGCATATACGTAAACAAAATTATAATATCCTGTAAACATTAAGTCATTAAGTCCAACATTAAAATATTTCTAATAAAATCAAGAAATAAAAAATTGCACAAAAATAGAGATTGTGATTCACATTTATGGTGTAATTCTTCATATTATATAACATCGTTGTCATCATTTTTGACTCTCTCATTTGAAGAATTCAATTCCTTCCCAGCTAAAAGCGCTTGAATCTCCCGATACGTCTTACCTTTTGTTTCTGGCACAAATAACATTACATTGAAAAAAGCTAATAAGCAAGATGCCGAGAAGAAATAATAGACCGTATGAGATCCAAAACTGTCACCAATAACTTGATATAGTTTTGACACAATAAAACCAAGTATACCATCGAAAATCGTAACGATGGCACCTGCAACACTTTTTACTTCCGTAGGAAATAATTCACCGATAAGTGCATTAGGTAACACGCCTAAACCTATTTGAAATGCTATCTGAAAAAAGATTACGTCAATGACGGGAAGAAAATTGATCATAGAAACATCAATGCCTTTAATATCGAGCATAAAATAAATCGCTAGAATAGCTAATGTAAGGAATGATCCAAATGTAGAAATCATCAAAAGTGATCGTCTTCCTGCAGCTTCCACTGTTATAGTGGCTAAACTACCAGATATGAGACCAACAGCCAAAACAATAATAGTCGCTACATTCGAATCAATACTAATTGCTGCTTTCCTAAACAATACATCAAGATATTGTATAGTACTAAAATTTCCGCT